CGAGTATTGAAGTGCAATGCATCTAATTGTGCAGTAAGTATTTAATTTTGGCAGGGACTTAACACTACTTACTAATTTCTATTTAGGTATGTCTATTTCCTAATATTATTAAACCTTTAAAAATAGAACACTATCGACTACAGACTGAATTAATTATACCGTATGTGAGTACGTGAGCCAATTTTTAATTGAATTGAAACTAGTATAAACTGGAATGTCCCATAGATTTGGGAAACCCAGTCTCTACCACACCAATTTAGTTATTGACAACAAGAGTAAGGATTATTTTTATTCTACACATCTCATGTGGATCCCTGCTTTGAATAAGAATAACCCTTGCTTAATGGTTTATTGCTTTTCAATATGTAAAATTCAAATTGCTCTATGCTAATTTAAATTACCTAGAGCTTGGACTAGTTTTTGCTACGGCTCCACACACTTGTCTTCACGAAGGGTTTGAGCTTTCAGGAAAATGAAACTCTTGAAAAATTGTATGATAATCAAGATATCATTAGAAGATCTCCTTAATCGATTTCTAGAGCCTACTATTCCTAATTAATTTTAATAATTTTCAGATACGTCCCATAATAAAAAAAAATTGATCCATTCTGAACAAAGTATAATTCTAGTATACAAACAAACATTTTGCTTCTTTATTATGTACATACTAGTATTGGTTGATGTAAAGTCTCAAGAAATGGATTTAGGTGAAGGGTTTGGCTTTTGATAGCGATAATTACTAGAGCAAACACGCAAGTAATTGAGACAGGAAATTAAAATATTTCTATGGAAACTATACATATTCATTCAGTCTTGGGAAGGAGGTCAAAGATATTTACATAGGTAAATTGGCTATACCAAGCAGAAAATTAAAAACAATAATTTATACAGCTGGTATGTTTTGGTATGGTAACATAAAGACAGATGTTCAAGCTTCAGACATATATTTAACTACCAATTAAATAACTCTTTATTTAGTTTTCTAATTAAGTATTTTAAGCAATGGCCACTGAAAAAACTTAGTCCATAAACAAACGAGGTTCTCTGGCAGTGTTTGTCCCGATCACAACCGGGCACGGCCCATCAAGGTAAACCTTATAGCATGTTATCTAGATGTAATAGGAGCTGCTTTGCAATAAAAATGTATAGCTTAAAGTGCTGTTGATGGTATAGCAGTGTTTGCCCCGATCACGACGGGCGTGTCCTCATCACCCGCGAACCAATGCAGCGTCGCTGATAGTGCCAATTATCGCGGGGATTATGTGAGACGCTATCTTGACATTTCCGACGGAAGGATTGGACGGAATCACCATTTGGACACCTTACTTATTTTTATCGTAGTCTATGTATGGTACGGTACAGGAAAAGGTAAGTACCAACAAAAGTATAGGCAACGTCAAGTGACGAATAGTCAGGCTTAGTGTGAGTTTACATCAACCGTCTTCACTAGTGACTGCGTAAAAAAATGACATTAAATGTATGACGGATTGTACAGCGACCCAAGCGGATACATGCCTACTAAGAACTTAAATCTTTATAAAAATTTTGACACGCTCATTAGTGACGACGTAAACTCACAGTCTCACACGTAACTTTTCTCGAAGCCCTAAAGCTCGTAAAATCCATTTTCAGGACTAATCGTGCCTGAATGTGCATCATTTTCAAAAAAATCCCTTATCTACTCACCACATCATGTTCGGACGAGTAAGATGTGTTATGTTTAGTAAGAGTACGAGTTTAGTACGAGTACGAGAAAGTACGAGTATATTCCAAATGGTTTCATACCCCCACGAAATTAGTGAACCTAATAATACTTCCTGAAAAATTACTATTATAAAAAGTATTTGGCTCTACAGTAGAAAAACCAATAGTGACAGATGTTATAGTTGCATCGTAAACAGTAGTTTATCGAGTAGGTATATCTCCTCAACCACCCACAAGATGGACCGACGACCTCATAAAGGTAGCAGGAAGGCGCTGGATGCAGGCCACCAACCGGCGTTTGTGGAAATCATTGGGGGAGGCCTATGTTCAGCAGTGGAACGTCCTGTGGCTGAAATGATGATGATGATGATTATGATGATCTCCTCAACCAATAACGAGTCGTTAGTTATATCTGGCAGTAGATAATTATTTATTCGACGTCTTATATTTTGAACGATCAAAGGTTCTTTTTGTTTTATAAGAATTAAAGTCCACGATGATCAATTATGAGTAACACGGAACAATAACATAAATATTTTCGTAATCTTTTCTCGAGCAATGCCCTATAATATTGAAGGTTAAACAAAGTTAAATTCTATTGAAATAAGTACGACGTCGCTTTTGTCTTGAAATAATTACACCCGTAAAACTTTTACGGTAAAAGGATTCATAATGTAAGAAGTTTGTAAAACTTGATTGCACTGTTGCTTGTAGAATGCAGTGAGTGAAAATCATTAGAAAACAATAGATATTTTGTACGTACGTACAATATTTACATGAAAATTACTATTTGTTAAGAAAATAAATTGTAAATGCCAATCTACTAAGTGACGAGCATCTACAGAACTCTGTGTCTACACTGTGCAGAACGATTCTGTCTTCTTACAATTTTGTTAACTAAAAATTTAAATTTTGACGAAAGGTCATGGTTTACCTTAACAATAAATTAAGTGGTGATTAAAATCTCAATCAAATTGTACAATAATTGTGTCCCTGCTGAAAAATGCTGCGCAACGTAACTCCAGTTTAAGGAAAACACTCGAGAATGTGTAAGTTTCAGTAAAAAAAAGAAAACTGTATAATTCAAATCATATTTCACCGACAACATAAAGACAGACGAAACTATTGTGTTTGAGTTCATTACATGAGTAATCGTTTCATTAATTATAACTAAATTCATCGAATTTAGGGTTTTTCCAAAACACAGGAAAACTTATATCAAAGCAAATACCATAGGTAAAAATCTTACCTTTTTGCTTCCTATCAATTAGGTACATAAAACTATTCAATAAAACTATAAATTAAAATCTTATCAAAGCCTACGTAATAATTATTACCAAATATTAATAATTTAATTCATGTAAATTGACATCGATATCAAATAGTGCAATTACGTGTCTTTTTATCTTTAATCTGTTTCCGATATCTACAGCTGTATCTTATAATTAATTAGTTATGCTCCAAAATCATAGTAAAACCACAGATTAATAAGTGAAACTATTGGTGTTGAAAAATAATATTAAAATGCTTATGCTCATAAGCGTATGGTTTCCGGAAATCTTCAAAGCCTTTGCAAAGCTATGAACGCTTATATGAGTTGACAAAATAAGAAGACATTATCGTCTGATTTTAAGCGACTCTATTTAATTAGGTACTTTCCATCACATAGATTCCATCAGCCCAAAGCTTCTTTAATTCTTTATCTACCTACTACGAATCGGTATTCGTGCCTCGATTAAGTTTCTTTTGTGAAGTAACGCCTCTGTTCTGTGGCTTGCGTTTACTGAGATAGAATCTTTTTAAAGTAGCTACGATAAAATTAAATAGTAAAAAAACTGTGAAGTTTATTTTTGCTAGCACTTTTCAAGTTGTATATTAGAAACATGTTTTGGAGACAACTCTACCATTCCTGATAGTAGGAATGAAATAATGTTGGGTGCCTATAGAGGCTCATAAAATCTGAATGTTATAACTGACACGAACAGTAAAATAGCAGAAGTAGATAAATAGAGGGACATATACCTATTTAACAAGCGGTCAATAGGCTTGCTTGAATAAAGTAACAATCGACCAACATTGGCACCGGATTTTCTATGCCCATATGCGCATAACCATAAGTACTCGCACGAACTCTAGCTAGAGTTCTTGCCTTTAAGTGGTTTAAATTTAAATTCGCTGGCCATCAGTATGGATAAAAAAACGAAGTAGTCTAGCCACTTTCGAGCTTAGTCCGTCTTAAGGCGTCTCTTAACAGTCCTTAACTGCTCGTCGTTTTAAATGACTGAACAGTTTAATTACAAAAGTAACTAAATAACAGCGGAAGTCTGACAAATTAGTGCTAATCCCACCGTGAATTACATAATTAAGTTAAGCTGTTTACACATTCAGTATGGCCACACTTTATCTCACATTGATAACGTCGATTTAATACGTGCACCATTGAGAAGCCGAGTGGGTGCGCCTTTTAACTCGTTATCTGTTCAAATTGTGCTCATAGTCAACTATGATTTGAATCTATCATTCGTAAATAGTCTTCGTTATGAATAAACGACTATAAAATGACTCTACATACATAACGAAATGTTCAATTTCACGTTTCCTTAATATCAAGTTTCGTAGCAAATCTCGTAGCAAAGCAAATAACTTAAAATAGCAGACGAGTTTTGAAATGATAAATCTTTATGAGACGTATTTCAAATGAGTTGGAATTCATATAGAGTTCCGTCTCGCTCTTAATCAAAGATGGCATTGTATTCAGTTAACGAAAATTCAAACAGCGCCCGTTCATAATGTTCGCGCGCAACTTAAACGCGTCGAAAGTTTTGAAGGTTCTGGCAGCTTCAAACATCTGGCAACACGCAAGCCGCTATCGATGGAGAGATTATTGATGAATTTACAGCTTGTATCAAATTCTCAATCTGTCACACGATATTGATATCAGTTAAGTTTTATCATAAACTTTCAGTTAGTCGCGAATTGAAATGCCTCCTGGCGAATAATCTATCAATGAAGTCTCAGCCAATGGGCGGCGGGTATGGCGTGATGTGGCGAGGGCTTGGTTGGCCGGCGATGCCGCGATGTCCTATTTTTAGCGGAGCCCGATATGCGCGCGACGCGGCGACGCGTGCGCGAGTGTGCGGCGCGCGGCTGTGTGCGTGTGTTGTCGAGGCGGCTCTCTGTTTACCGCGCGGTTGTGTGGCCGGCTCGCGCTCGCGCTCACGTGTTAGTCGCAAAATCGAGTTTTCCGGCGACCGCCGAGCAGCATTAGCGTCCCATGGTGTTTTTCTTTCAGTATATCGGTGCTAATTCGTGCCGGAAAACGAAAACATTCGGGAGCCAGCCGCTCGTGCGTTGTTTCGGCCGGGCTCATAAAAAATTCAGTGTTTTCGGTGGATGCGATGAATAAATTTTGCAAATCGAGTCTGTGCGTCGAAAAGGTCTGTGAGAGCTATGTTTTGATCGGCCGGCGAGTGGTGGATGTGCCGGGTTTTTCGGACGCGGTCCGCTTGGTGCTCCTGATCCTGATTTGCCTGCGACTGCGGCTGTGCAGGGTATACCGGCCTCTGCTGGTGCAAGGATCCTGTCTCTACCAAGACTCTCTGGACGCCTTGGGCTCCTCACTCTGCACGTGTTAAGGTACGTACCCGAAACTTGTCCTTGCTCTACGTTAGCTGTGATCGCATTTAAATTGATTGTGTACCTACCTCTCCGCATCTTGATGCTAATGTGTGTATATTCTATTCAAATACTAAGCTCCATTATTTTGTGTTTGGCTTCTTCGTAGCGATTTGTTTGACTTCTGAGGTGGCTCTACATTATGTTTGCTAAAATCTGCTTATTTACACTACCAATATTCCGATAATATTACTACTACTACTATAAAAAACAATGTTATCTTAATTAGGTAGCTTCAATATTTATAACCTAGTTAGACTAGGTTTGCCAGGAAACTAGTCCATAATGCAATAAAAGGACGCGATAGGTGCGTAGGAAACAGGAAGGTCGTTTTTCCGTCGCTTTCAGCGCGTATCAACATTAAACAGCTGTCAATGTGTTCGGCTTCACGCCATACATTTATTTACATTTCTCTTTCGCGCACTCGTTTTCGGAATTACGTAACGCATTCAAATGCGAATTTTATCGCAAGACGCGCACGTATTTATCTTTTCGGTCTATTGTTTTTATTATTCGCTCATGCAGTTTTTATTACAAGACCACACTATCAAGTGGCCACTTAAAGATAAATAGGTGCCTAAACGTTTATAATTAAAGAAAAAGGTTTTAGTCAATGTAGAGTCACAACGATAACCACCTCTAAAAGCAATTGTTACAGTTAATCATAATTAAGCAACTAGGTATAAATATTGAAAACAACTTTAAAGCAAATAAAAGTCATAAAACGTGTACATTTGCAATCTAACCGCACAGTATTATAATATGTCTACGTGTTACTTCTAGTCTTAGCCCGGTTGAAAACAGATGCTAACTAGAAATGTAGAGTCAAACTGGTTTCATTAGGATATATTTTTTATCCAACTTCCCATTTTTTTAAACACAATTGCCGTTTACAAAAAAATTCACGGTTACGTGAATTTATTAATCACAAGCCACAAAAACTTTATGTAAATTAACAGCTATAAATAACTTCAATAACTTCGATCGACAGTAACAAACCTGTTTTCCCATGATCTTCTTTTAACTATTAAAAAACAAAAGAGAAAAATGCAAAGGAGTTTGAAAGGGCACACGGATTTAAAAAAAATCCTTGCAAATCTTTCAGTAGGTAAAAATATTGTAGAGATTGCCTGAAAAGAAATGAACTTACTTCGGAAAACATTCAGTTGTCGGTCTTCAGTTCGATATTTCCATGGTCATGAATTCTGACACCAAGATGAGCAGTTACCAAAATCTAGGTACGTGTACATAATTAAAGAAGAAGAAATATTAGGTTTAGTTTTAGAGTGCCATTTATGGGCTGAAGAAAATTTATTCTATCGCAAATATCGTTGGGTTTTGGATATTGTTTTCTCAAAATGTATTTTTGTAATAAATTAACCATTAAAATTAAAGCTTTAAAGCCCTTACCTACACGCGAGTAATACCATACAAGTAACGTTTATTAATTTAAGTTTATGGCTCCAGAGGTATATTAATTTAAAGTTAATTAACCACGGATGTTTAAACCGTAATTAGCTGCGATGTTGCATCAATGGAATATTTTTTATTACAAGGACTGTCGTATAAATTGGTAACTAAAGACCATAAATTGATTTTATATCTGATAAAGGCTGTAATAAAGTTGTGTGTTATTAATTTTGTTAAGTTAATTTTGTTTAAACTGCATTCGAATTTTTTATTTTAACTGCTAAGTAGTCTTATCGCTATCAAATTCTTTATTATATTTAAGTTAAGTAATGTATGTAAAAACTGCTAAAACTATAAATGATTGAACAGCCTTGTCTACCAGTTAACTTAAACTAAACTTTACTAAAATCCAAGATTAACAGCAAGATTAGATACAATGCAATATTTTATGCAAATTCTAACATTTGTTTGTGATATTTAATATTCTTTTGAAGGCGCTGACGGCCGGCTCAGGTTAATAAATTAAGGACCGTAGAAGTTAACATTGCCATTAGTTATTAAATATGAATATTTTAACATTAATTTAAACAATAATTAAGATTTTGTGTTCCTTTTCTGGTTTATTTATATTCTAGATACTTATACTAGTGCTTAAACAGTAAGGCTGGGAACATCTTACTTTTTGTCAAAAGTCTTTCAAACTCCATACAAAAAACCCCGGTTATGGTTAAAATAAGGTAGTGCAACTCAACCTTACTCTTGCAGTTTTAGGAATATGACAATTTTGCATGACCTGTATTAATTGTGATGCTTGTTAACTTTATAATCTAACTAAAGTCTCAAACGATAAGCACAGGACAATAATTGTTTTTTACAATTGCTCAGGGTTAAAATCTTTTTGGGCAAATATTACGAAAGTTATTCACTCTTAAACTCTGGGCGAAGGTTAAAAGGCCTAAAAAGTGCGGTTTCAAACGAGTTTTGTGGGATATGATGCCAGTACTTATTGAATGAACTTTTTGAGTAACAAAACTGCATTAAAGAAAAAAAACATATCAACCGAATTAAGAACCTCCTTCTTTTATTAAAGTCGGTTACACATAATGGCGATGGTGCATTACGAAGGTTAGGTCCTTTATATATTATGTTTGTTGCCATATTGTGTTATGTTATGAAATAGGGGAATCCCCGAAAGGATGCGATGCTAAGGCATGAACTTGGAGCATTGCCAGTATTATGTATCACAGTGGGCATAATTATTATGGGTTACTCAAGGTGTTAAAAACTTAAAATGCCTATTTGTAGAATAAATAATAAAATATTACCTAAGGTTTATGTTGGGATTACTTGGGATGTATTACATAAATCCTTTTTATATGGGACAAAGGTAGTTCCACTACTATAAATTGTAAATTTTACCTTATGAGCACTTCATTACCTCATGATTTTTAGCTAACCAGGCAGACAAGAAAAAGCCTTTTAGCAACAGATGCTTTACACTTTGTAGAGTCAGATAAATATAAAATAAAGTCAACCTAATTGTTGGTGATTGAAGTGACAAGATAAATACGTCTGTAAAACGGATCAGACAGTTGGCAATTTTAAAATCTGCATAAATAATGTTGATATAATCGAATTAAAACTTACAAAATACAGCCGGCCGATTATACAATTATTGCGAGCTGCATGAATGAGCTACACCCACGCCCGAGGCGTTTTTTATAGCGACGAATGGGCGAAGGCATAATTGTTTATACAGTCTCAGTTCCGATAGAGGTCGCATATCGCCAGATGCCACTGTGCCTTGCCTTCTTATTGTGTAAAAAGACGACTTATTAATTTGAGGAAAATTCAGCCTGCAATTGAAATAAGAACGTTACGGTTAATATGAAGAAGATGAAATAAGCATTAAATGCAAATATAATCACTGAAAATGAAATTTAAGGACTTTCCGCAAGTAGGTTAAACAGTTAATTTCAAAGATAAATGAAATGATTCAAACGTTTGATATAATAATCGTCATAGGTCTAATCTAACATTTATAACATTGATAACAATCATCAAATTGATAATCTTTATTACAATTCTACGATATTATCTGTACATTTTGTAATGTAGGCACTAGGCTGAATAAAAAGAAAGGAAAAGTTAAAGCGCTAAAAATACAATCAACTCCAAAATCTAATTTATTGGGCGGTTAATAGAAAGAAATCTGCAAAATGCAACGGAGTAATTTAAAAATGCAAGCAACAGGTCCCGCTTTGAAGGTGCTCGCAGACGATAAGGCAGAACCAGTCAGCACGAACCGACAAGGCCTCCACACAAATGAATGGATGTTAATTAGTACATGTTTGTTTTTAACACTTCCACATTTACGCACACACCCACAAGCTCTCTTGATTAGAACACACACACGACAATTGACCATCGTAAATGTCTTTTACTTAACAATGTTTAAAATACACCCACACATTCTGTAAACGTGTTTTCTGCATTAGAACTCACGAATTCACACAGATTCGAACAATAACACGATAGCCACATAGTCGATTTCACCTTCACACATACGATTTCGGTAGGTGTTAGTGCGGTCGTGAGAATAAAATGTACAAACTTTTGTTATTTTTTATCGAAACTTCAGCACTTAATCACTTCCTACAGCTCAAAGGGCGGAAGTCATGCGTTTACAGAAATAATAAATTAACGCATTTGGTGTTTCAAAACTATGTGTTTCTTTAATGCCCTTGACAGAAGGTCAATTGGGCGTGTGCTTTTGTAGGAACTCGTTGCGACATGCGCATCACATTAGTAACAAATCGAATATTGTTTGTGTTTTTTGCTGTGTGCTCGATAATTTTCGAGTGACTGCTGGACATCTCGAGTAGGTATCGCGAAGGACGATCGACTCCCACGCACTCGAGCTTACGTGTCGACAATCGTAACCAATACAATGATCAATATTATTTTTAATATCACATACTTCGTAGCAGCAATAATATTTTTTTCGTAGCAACACCATTAATGCATTTTTTATCGGTCGAATGATTAAGTTATCGACTTGTACAATTAATCATATTGCATGACTCTATTGTTCTGTAGCTAAATTAATTCACGGCACTAAAACATCTCGCTTCAAGCACCATTATGCAACAATAGTGAACCGTGATAACCTCGTGCCTTAGTATGGAAATTAACACTTTTCTATACATTTAAAAAACCCTAGTATTCATAATTTGTGTACTCTATATCTTCTAAAAGATTGAATACGATTCTTTATATTGGCATAAAAAATAACAAGTGTAGGCAAATAAACTGAAACAGTGTTTGCCTAGTGGAGTCCAAGACATAGTTTTTAGAATTTTTAACCGCATGTATGTTATTTTATTTACTCAAAAACCGCAAAGCAAATTCTTTGTGTACCTACACGAATGATAGCACTTTACCCAACTAAAAATCAGTGTTTCAGTCTCTTAGGAATATAAGTCTTTGGAAAATTATTTTCACGCGGGCTCAGCTAGTCTAGTTAATAAAATTATGAATAGACGATCTAT